GTGTGCTAAAATTTCTTCATTTTCCTTGTTAAGAATCAGAGGTGCTAGTTTCAAATCCTTTTTAGTCTGAAATCTGTATGCTAGATATTGAATAAGGTGGTTTTATTGTTTTTTGTCACTTTGAATAATATTTCTGTTCATGTTAAAAACAAAATCAACTCTCTGTATAAATATATCAGGTGACCGTTAAGGCCCATGGGCCTCTTGTTTTATTTTTCAAGATTTTCAGAACATGTACATTACACAGAACATCACATCAACACACATTCACACATATCAACTATTGAAATTATCATCATCCTCGTCCTTATCATCACATAACCATTGCAATTTTGTATTTTTTGTTACCCTGAAAGGAATAGTATACATTTTCCCCCAAGTTTCCTGATTATAGTCCCCCATTTTGTTGCATTATTTCTGATAAGTATATTATAGAAGTCTTGAGAACCCTTTTTCTTCTTTAAAATTATTACAAGATGTAACGGTATAATTGGGTATATCACTGGTCATAAATCAGGACTAACAGTGTTTTAATTCTAAAGAAGAAACCATGTGTGTTTTAAAAGATTTGTCCCCTGTGATCTTGAATATAGTTCAGCTAAAAATACCACGACTCAAGAACCCTTGAATTCTAATCAAAGTAATTTTAACAATTGTTGTACTCAGTCAACAAGTTGTGGGTTGTACGTCATCACAACTTTAGGCGTCTTGGTTATCCAGAAGGATCCATTTGTTTAACACGAGTACAAGGCAGAGCAATGTTTGTCCATCCCATGCCAAACTTTAAATCCTTCCGATGTACATTGTTTGAAAATATAAGGAACTACATTTGTACTGTATTGATAATTAAAGTTGAGAACTGTTCCTGTGATGTAGTGAATGGAGAAAACATACTGTACTTGACTAGCTTAAGACGAGGGAATGCATATCATATAAAGGGCCATAACTCAATAAATTATGATTGGAAAATAGTGTTATCAAATTTGTCCCCGCTTTAATGGTAATCCTATGAACTTGGAGGCTACAGAGTGGACTGTTTCTGATAAGGGGCCACAACTCCATAAATTACAGATTGATAATGGTTGGTATCAAACTTTGTCCAAGCTTTCATAGTTATATGGTTATCAAGCTTTTGTTTGAAGTTTATCTGTTGAATATTACTCAAGATATCAAGCATACACTGTTTCGGCAATTGAATAATGTGTCATAACTCTTTCAGTTAGGGTTGACTATTGTTGAGTATCAAGCTATCGTGGTAATTGACCTTCCCATGACATTTGAAGTTAATTTGTTGAAATTTATTCTAGATATCAAGTGGACACCATAACTCTCAATTGTTAAGATAATGGTGGGTATTCAACTTGACTCAGCTTTCATGGTAACAACCTTCCTTGGAAGTTTGAGGCCAATCAGTTGATAATTACTCTAAATATAGAGCAGACAATATTTTGGCAATAAAATAAAGGGCCATAGCTCCTTAATGGTGGTTATCATACTTGTCCAAGCTTTCATGGTGATTGGCATTTCTTTGAGGTTTGAAGTAAATTCATTAAAAATTACTCCAGATATCTAGCGTATATTTTTGGTAATTGAATAAAAGGCCATAACTCCATAAATTATGATTGGATAACTGTGGTTATTGAACTTGTCTTTATCATGCAAACATATTATTTGTTGTCAAGTCTCCAAATTCTAGATCAAGAAAAAAAAGAACAAACAAGAAGTTGTGGTTTTAAGCGCACTGTAATTAACAAAAATGATACTTTTACATTGATATCCAACTCAGATGTATGTGTACCCTTTCTCAATGATACAGGTACTTGCACTCTAGCCCGACAACATACACCTTACTTGTGGACTGATTCAATAGTAGTAAAGAATTTAATTAAAAAACTGGCAACTACAACCAAAAAATAAACAAGAAAAAAAATATCACAGATGAGAAATTAAATCTAAAGAAACATTTATGCAGTACCCAATCCAGCGAGTGAAACCAAACCTGTGGATAAACATACTAATGAGACAGCCTCATGTGACACCCGTCGGTCTGACATGTCACTAGTGGGTAAAAACAGTCTCGTAACGAGTAAATAAACCTACAAGTCTGGCTCAACACCAGAGTTGGTCTGCCTCAAAACCTAATGAGTCGGTATACCCACAAGTCTGGCTCAACACCAGAGTTGGTCTGCCTCAAAACCTAACGAGTCAATAAATGCAGAATTGGTCTGACTCAACACCTAGAGAAGACATTCGTATTGAAGCCAATCTAAATAGTGCTTAGTTTTTGCATTTCCTTGAATTATAAATCTGTTAAAACTTTTCCTCTGTAACCATGATGGCAGTTCCCAGTATTTAGATTCTATTTCTCTAGACTGTATTCTCCATCTATCCAACACTGACATTTTGATTTGTTTTCCAAAAAAAAGATTCTATGGGGATTGGTATATTCATAAATATTAGTGATTTATCTTTAGAATTAATTGAAGTCAATCTGGTTGAAAGTGGAGCAGTAATATATATCTATGACCATATATTTTTAAACTAAACAAGTTAAGCAAAACTTGATCCGAGTGACATTATGACCTTTGACTTAAGTAATCTTTGCGTTTTGGTTACACCCTCAGCTACTTAGGTATATCCTTATCGTGTCTGTATAAACACTTAAAAAAAAAATCATTCATTAGAAAGGGGGTGAACAGAAAAATAATGTACTACGTACAAGTAAATCTTCATATTTTTTCTGTGCTTTTCTTAAAATGTATTTGTTTGCATCTGTTCAATTTATTGCCATGCAGCTTTTCACATTCCTGTGTTCAGAACACTCACAAGGAGGCAGCTTAAATCTTGTGCCTCAGGAATACTTGTCACCCAATCAGTTCTACATTTTAAATTCAGATTTAAGCAAAATGCAAATAGAGCAAACACAGAAAGACCTGTGGAGTATAAGCATTTTAGATTAAACAGATTCATTCATCATGACGGAGGAGACACCAAACATTGATCAATCAAATACAATATTAATGAAATTTCACAATAGCAAACTTGCATTCTTATTCAGAAACTTGCATTAAATTCTCTGTTTTAGCTTATTGACATTTGTTATTACACTTGATACCTATAAATACAGATACAAAAATAAAGTTTGTTATCCAGATAAAAATGTGTGAACCGATGATAACACCCACGTATGATGACCGGATGAACCACTGTATGATGAATATGGAGATATAAATAAATTACCTTGATTTTCGTCACAGGGCCCTCACACACGGATGATAGAATATTGTTCCACTATTGATACAATTTTTCAGGACCCTGAGACTGCTGTAAATCATTTGCATTTCCTCTATATTTATTTTCATATAAATTTACAAAAGGTGTCGGGTCACACATTCAAATATCTTGATAATATTAATTCACACACAATCAACCATGGAACTTATCAGTAGTTGTTCCTTTTAGATAATCAAATCCTTGCAAATATGTCAGTGGATGAATAACTAAGAAAATAAGTATGGCGAAAGTGTAATTGATTTACAAAAGTATGATGGAATGGTGGTTTTGTGATCTACTGGCACTATTATTGATACAAAATTGTAAATATAAAATTTACAATGTTAGAAAATTGATGTTAATAAAGTCCTAAAGTGATAGTGAATTACTGATGGTTGTTTTTTAATTGAATTTATTAGTGAAAAATATTACAAAAATATCTAAACAATAATTATGGTAGAAAATCTGACTGATAACGAATGTTGTATCCAGCCACTGATCAAAGAAAATATAAGGCCATTGCTTTATCCGATATCTCAAAAATTTGAACCAGAAATGACATTGCAATATTTATCATTCCATCCCAGGAAAATTGGATTATAAAACCAGCTACACACATCACAAATAAAATCCAACAATAGCAAAAAAGAGGATATAATTCCTACATTATCCATTGCCGTGACAATAGCATATCAACATGCTATGTCCAAATATGGTATTGTCTGTCTAGTACGAAACACAATATAACAGTTCCAACCAACTAGTGTCCCATTTGTAATCTACACATATTCAATTTCTACAGGATAAATATTTTTCTACAAATTCAGACAAATTTTGGACTTCTCATTTCTACAAGACTTTACATCCGACTTTCAGATTCTTCATTTATCGCTTCATACATAAAAAAACACCACTTGTATTATACAATATGTACACAGAAAGAAGACCAGATATCAAAACATCTCAAAAAGACAAAATTGTTGAAAAGTGTTAGTCAACTGTTCATTTAAATTTGTATTTAGAGAAAATAAATTCAACTGAAACAAAATAATTTAAAATCTTAAAAACAGCTAAAGAAGTTAACATAATGTATTATGATTACAAGTGTTTTCGTACACACCTTCACAAATAACAGCATACAAAAACAATTAACTTCATGCAGTGTGTCGAACAAGTCATCTTTTGACAGTTCAATCAATCTAAAAACCAACCAACAGATTCTCAGAGGTCTCATCAAATGAACAAACTCCCACAGAGACATGCAATAATGTGACAATAGCATCAGGTATACTATCTCTGCTGGCCACCCTGCTCCTTTTATCATTCTGGCAAAGTCAATGTTTCATGAACGTCAATTTTGTGGCTAGATCTTTTGCTTTGGGAGTAGAGTATGTTAAATACTCCAATCTCTATTATTTCAATATTAAAAGTGTGTTGAATTTAAGTCTGCAGTTCTCACCACAAGAATGCTGGGTTTCACAGTTTTGACAATGTCAGATTGAGTGCTTAGTGACCAACAAGGGAAACCTAAAACATACAAATAACACTCTCCTCACATCATTTAATCTGTATATAATATATATCTATCTAAATATCAAACGACGAGATCATAAAAACTTTACAAGACAGTATTAATCAATGTTGGTTTTAACTTAATGCTTATGTACACAGGCTAATGACAACAGAAGAAAACAGATAAATAACTATATGAAATAACTGTGCACCATAACATAATCACTTGATCAAGATTTATGAATGCCAACATGCACTATACATACCTACACAGTATTCACATCGTTCAATAAACAACACTGTCGCATACAGTGGCACAACAGTTCTCTCCCTTTGCTGGCCAAGCATTTTCTCAGCTTCACATCGACTCACAGGGACCAGAAACATGGATATAGATAGAATAGTTATGTTCTGTCTTATTCCTATAACCATGAATTTTACTGCCACCTGTATGTGGACCACCAGTTATCTCACTTCACCCGTCTTACATCCTTCAGTTGTAATTCTAATTTATCTCACTTAACCCGTCTCACATCCTTCAGTTGTTACCTGTATGTGGACCACCAGTTATCTCACTTCACCCGTCTCACATCCTTCAGTTGTAATTCTAATTTCATTAAATATCAATTTTGACATTAACTGTTGGATCCTTTTTAAGACAAGCATCTCCCTATCCATCCCATCAAAGAGATAGCCAAGTTAACCCTTTCACCACTGTAGACCATAATGGCCTAATCCCAATAAATGCATGGTAGAGTCCACTAAAGTTACTTAGGGGTGAGAGGGTTAAATAGATATTCAGAGGGAACTCGGCACTAATTATATAGCAAGAAATTTTATCTGCCCCAGAACAAACATCCAATACATGATGAAAATCCTGCTAATGTTACACATACCCTCTTATAATTCAACATCAAGTTATTTTAAAATCATAATACATTGTACCCATACCAGTAAAAAGCCAACACCCTGGACAACCCACCGTTCATTTTTGATACTTTCACTGTAGTATTCTGTTGTGATATAGACATTTTGATTAAAAAATGTTGTGCAAATAGTACAAAGTTGATTCAAAACAGAAATGAATAGGACTGTATGAAGAGCAAATTTTATTCAATACAGAAATTAATTAATAGGACTGTACTGCTTTCTTCGTATACAATTTGTGTGAAAATATCAGTTGAATATGAAATTCTTAACCAATGACATTACAAGTGACAACAGTGTTAATGAAGAGGCATGACTTGGGTCTGATCCTCCAAAACATATCATAACAAATTCTACAGGCCAGTTCATTTACTGTGGTTAGATATGTTTGTTTGAGAAACAGCATTACACTTCAAAAGCTGACAAAATGCAGAAGTCTCATATTTCCAAAACCTGACCAGCATAAACAATTTTCTGCATGATAAAGTACGATTTGGAATAATACAGTGTAACCTGCCAACATCACAGGGGTCTTGGATCATTTGATTGGATATGACAGTTTGTCAGCGATAAAAGACTGAGAAATCAATCTTTGGGACCATAAAATCATGTTGGAAAATCAGAGACCATATCCTGTAAGTCAAGTGCTGGTATTAACCAAGTTTACTTGTACAGCGTTGTTTGTGCAGTAGTCAGCTAGTGGAATCTAATACCTGTTCATCAAAATTACAAAATGTCATTCACACATGATGTACAGTAATAAATAAAACATTTACTCTAACTTTCATAATTATTAAAACAATGTTACATAAATATATAAAAGAGGGGAAAAGGTGAATAAATCCAGTATAAATGTTAAGAAAAATCATCAAAATACAAAACAAAAAATCAGTGAGGTTAGTTTCATCCATGTAAATGGGAAATAGTATCTCAAAATACATATATGCATCATTTTAAGCTCAAAACTTGGTATTGCATGGGTGCTGCTATAAATTAATTGTATGGCAGAATAGTTGTCAGATTTGGCACCCAACAAAAGGACGAGAAACCCATGTCATTCCTTAGGATTTCAATTAATGCTTAATAATCAGTACAAAACTCTAAAATCCTGGGCTTGGCTATATGTAGTCTTGTTTGCTGAACTTTACAAACTGTTCATCAAGAAACTTTTCCAATCAAAATTCCAACTTTCCTTATCAAACAAGAGTATCGATATGCGATGTGTCTGATAAAGACGGTTCTTAAATCCCACAGACATATATCATATACCTTATAACGTTTATGTAAAATCTTCAACAAGAATTTCAGCTTTGTGAGCTGTAAAACTGACTGCACTGTGACAGTTTTGAATCTTGTATGTATGTACATTGTACTACACTTTCAACTTCCAGTAGGCTAGGGCTTATTATCAAGGATTAACTTTTACAGGATAACTTTCTACTAATAATAACATGCATACTTCAGACATTTATCTGTTTCACTGTTAAATGTTCAATTATTCAGCTTTGCTGATACTGGCCTAACTTTGAGCAATCTATATTTTGTTCCTTGGATACTAGCACTAACACAATTCAGTCGCTGAAACCTTTCATCTGTTCTACTTTGCTGACACTAGTTTTGAGCAATCCTTTGGATATTAACATGAACATAATTCTGACATTGAATTGTTCCATTAATTTTTTTAACTCATTCACCTCTGAAGACACATTTGAACTCTTCCAGTTTAAAGGTTGAAATAGTGCATGATGAAATTTCAGGGGTGAATGAGTTAAAATACTCAATTTTGCAGCTTCAACTGTACTATCTCATTTTCAGCCATCTATGAGCTATACGCATGTTATTCCCTTGGATACTAGCACTAATTCAGACATTCATCTGCTTAACTGGATACTTCCTAATTCTCAGCCACCGATACATTGTTCTCCCTAAATACTGGCACCGAGGTAATTCAGACATGCATTTTGTTTCACCGATTTATGGTGTTTCAACGATTTATGGTCAACTTTGCAATTATACAGCAAAGCACTATACATATATGATATGACATTTTATAAGACTGTTTTACCCTTGTACAGCAGTGATGGTAACATCTATATCACTGGTCTGTTATATTAGTAGCACACAGAGTATGTTAACCCTTGGTGAAATACATGCTTTTCAACAATATTGAACTATGCTGGGTTAAAAAAAAATCTCTAATTTCGAATGGAAATGAATTACCAGGTAAACATTCCTCCTGAAAATCGGTTCTAATACCAGCATAGTCAAGTTTTACATATTTACAATATATGGGTATACATTTCATATAAAATCATATTTTGTAACTGCATTGAACTATTAAATGACATTCAAATTCTGGTTCACGATGCTGGGGAGCAGATCAGTAAAATGAGCTACATAGCTTTGATGACATTTATTATAACTCTAATCAGCTGTTGTAAAAATGACTACTCTGGCCGTGTGAAAATAATGAATTCTCCTTACATACACCTCGACATCATACCACCGGTCAAATTATCCCCTTTTACAACAGCGTTTTACTGTGCTATATGACCAATGTCCATCAAAACCAAAATGTTACAGATGTTAAAATATATACATTTCATAACATTCAAATTAATGCAAACAAGAGAAAAATGAATATGTTTGAGTACCAGTGTGTTTCGACTTAATTTCCAAAACAAAATGACCTCATTTTGTATTTTAGTTACCAAGCATTTCATCTTTCTAATACTCATACAAATTTGAAGGTACACCTAAATTCATTTCATATGTCCTAGAAATCAGTAAATAAATTCTAAGTAGGTGTAAAAAGTTGTGCGTATTATCTCCCTTAAAGTTTGCCATATCCGCTACACTGATGTTTACTTATTGCCTAGTGAAGTCATTACAAACAGGGTCAAGGCCACGTGTAGTCCATTTCTGTCATCACATTTGCCAATCTGAAAAAAGACAGGTGAAATATTATATAGCAACTCTTATACCAGCTGTTCTTTTTTTCTACACACGCAAATATTCCTAATGAATCACATTGTCATTTTCACAATATATCGTAGCAAATTACAAGCTACTTTTGAAAGAAGACACCTATCATTTCATTGTAGTGAAACATGCTGATGTTTCCAATATGTCTGAAATAATATGTCCTTTACATCAATATCAACAGTTGTGCAGCATACTGCTCTGAACAACTGGTCAAATGAGGATCCAAGGCCAATCAACAATACAATATGCAATCACTTGATGTACAGACAAATGCACTTCAGAAAGGACAATATGCCCAAACTTTGAACAACTTGATAATGGATGCAGCAGGCCTGATCTGATCATTTTCCTAATGCAAATTTCATTAATTGTATTGAGCTTTAAATTTTATGTTGATGTTTTACTATTAGATATATAAAATTGTGCTCAGGATAAATTGCAGTCTATAGTATTTGTTATTATCAGCAAATCTAAAACACAAAGATGAGTTCTTTCCCAAGTGGTGAAAAAAGATTAATAGCTCGTCGATGTTCCCGAAGCCATTTCCCTCTACACAAAGTACATACTACATTAACTCACTTTGTTGTCCTGGTCCATTGAACTGCTGTCTGGGTCCACTCTGGTTAGCAAACATTCCCAGTCTGATGTTGCTGGTTTGCTGGGTAGGCTGTAGTGTAGCATAGCCCTGGAACCTTGTAGCAGAGGCATCTAGCCTAGGACCTGCTGGGTTGGATATGGCTGGACGGATTTGTATGGGCCCACGGAAATTAGCAGGTTGGTTCTGTTGTGGCCTGGGTCCCTGCTGTTGATGTTGGCCTTTAGCAGGCGAGGGCAATCTTGGCTGTAAGTTAACTGGAGGCCGAGTAAAATCAGGTATATTGCCTACATTGCCTGGTGTGAAAGGCCGTTCATTGAATGTGGTCATTGGCCTTGGAGGTAGATCAGATCGTGGCCTGATTGGGGTGGGGGTGATGGAAGGGGGCCGGTGGTTGATGGTGAATACAGGCGTGGCAGGCTGCCCTGCCCCGCCCGCACACATCTGTAGCTGGCCTGTTGGAGTAGCCACGACAGTCCCTCCCCCGCTACCTGGAAGACTTGAGTTCGGTGGCTTCAGGGCCATGTTGGGTGGTGGTCTGCTTAGATCAGGCAGACTGAAGTTTGGAGCTGTGGAAACGAACACTGGCCCAGGGTTTGTGTAGTGAATATTTTGTGCTGTCGGCTGTAGGGTTAATCCTTTCTGAACATTGTCATTGTTTGGTGGGGGTGGTGGGGGCTGTTTTGCACATTGTTTTAACTGTTCCGAGAGATTTGGGACCTGGGGAGCAGGCTGCTGGGTTATGGTACTGGTCTGTAGGGCGGCTGTAGGACCCCCTAGGATCTGATTGTTCATACTGTTGTTTTGCGGAGTAAAAGACAACACAACCAAATTACTGGGTATGGATGAAGGAATAATTGGCATCTGATTGGTCATGGGTCGCTGTGAAATACCAGTGGTGGTGGTGCCAGTGTGAAGCTGGTTGTTTGTCATCAACATCATACCTCCCCCAAAGGAGGTCCCATTATTTAAAACACAATAATTAGTATTGTTCATCACTGTACCTGTCACAGCGTTGCTAACCAGGGGCGCCGGCTGTTTTGGCACGCTAGTACTATTGTTTCCTGAGTATTGCTGGGACACTGGTTTTATGTTGGAATTGATCACAGGGTGAGTCACCACAGGTTTGTTAACTGTTTCACTAGCCTTCTTCAAACTAATTTTAGTGTTCCTGTGGCGCCCACTCCCAGAACTCCGACTGGATGACGAGCTCCGAGATCGACTTCTGCTCCTACTGCTGGAGTAACAACTACTGCGGGAGCTACTCCTGCTGCTCTGCGTGTGACTAGAGGTTCTGGAAAGACTACAACTTCGGCTACGACTTGAACTGTAACTATTATTTCTCCGACCCTTGACCCCTTTTTTCTGTGAATGTGGAGATCCTGGGGGTGTTCTTGGGCCCCGTTTACTTCTAGGAGGAGAACCAGGCGGAGTTTTAGGACCCCGTCTTTTATCATTGTCCCTTCCACGCAATGAGTCCCTTAGAGAGACATGTTGCTTTGTTGGTATCACTTGTGATTTGCGTGGACTAGGACTTTGTCCTTCTAAACTTTTCCTACGAATTTCACGATTTTTATCCAATTCTGATGAAGCTAGAGCAACCAGGGCGTCAAAACCACTGCTGATCTGAGCTTGCCAGTTCTTGCTTGGTGAATCTTTGGCACTGCTGTTTTGAAGATTATAGTGACCTAGAAAAAAAACACAAACCAATCAACTGTTAAGTTTATATCTGAAGAATTACTCTGCACCATACAATTATTTTTTTTCACGCTGTATCTGTCTAAATCTACTAGGTACAGCTAATCAACTCAATGTAAGATATATTTGCGCGATTACCGTTATTTATTGAGAAATATATACTTGATGTGCTTATAATTCTTTGTTCTACAATAATCTTCTGAGAAAATCAATCCAAAGTTTATAAGTGTTAGTGTTCATTAGGACATCAGCAGGCGTACCAAAAAACCACATTTTTGTCTCAATCAGAAAATATTGCCGCAGTTGTGTTATCATCAGATTCAAACGGTAATTCCAAGTTTTCATCATATGGAGACAAATTCTACATAAAATTTTCAAATCCTTTCTGTTTGTTATAAAAGGATAATGTCTATGAATATTTCAATGGTACATCTGTACGAGTGAACCCGACTTAAAATCATACCAAACTTCCACCCTATTAGAACCCAAGGACACACAGCATATTGGGATACTTACTTTTGAGTTTTGGTCGGGCCGTCGGGAACAATGGACTCTGTACATGTGGTGTGGACATTCCTGAATCAGGAGACGAGAATGAACTGATCCCAGAGGTGTGACCTAGCATGCTGTCCAACACCCCATGACTCGGGGTATAGCTCACAGCATTAGAGGACAAGGCCATTTTTTTATTATCATTTTCAAGAATTTCTGTTTTCTTCCTTTTCAGTCGTTTTCTGTCTGCAGCTTGGTAGCTCTCTAGAGTGTACCGCATTTTGGGTGATTTGGAGCTGTCCCCACACTTCGTTGGTACACTGGGTAATGCCTGCCGTGGAGACACTGGTTTGTTACTCCTAACCTCCGACATTTGAAGTAAAGCCTCTGCTAAGTTAAACTTCTGTTGATCAGTATGCACCCTTTGACCTCTACCATGCAGCAAATTGTTTGACTTGGTCTGAGTCGACATATTCTCCACAAAGTGATTATTTACTGGCACACGAGCAGGTGTCTTTGCTTTAGAGTCCGTTCTGTGTCTAGATGAGCTGTACCCAGGCCCACGGGGACTGTTGGACGCTGTAGCAGGACTGTACGAGTGTGATGCAGTGACATCACATCCAGGCTCGTCGGCTGACTCTGTGGTGCTGCCACGACTACTGGGCCGACTGATAGGGGAGTAAAACCCAGCATCATGATCAGACTTACTTGACTGCTTTGACACCTGACTTGTGACATCACCCGCCTCATGCTTGCTTGGTCCTGTCCGATTGAGAATTTTCTGTCGTAACTGCTCCTTCTGAAGCTGGTCCAGTGGTATACTGACTGGGAGGGTGGGTCGGTTCGACTCCAGAGCTACACCTTTAGCAGAGGACTTGACCCCATTTGACAGTTTGACCTTCTTGTTGTGTGTCACTAACACATTACCCTGGTTACTGTCTGTTGGTTGCGATGACAGGGCCATGTGAACTACCTGGTCGATCAAATGAGCAGGCTTTGCCTCCTTTTTGATTCGTTCATACTCTAACTTCCCAGTTGAGTCCTGATGCAGGTCTTTGACCACACCTGACTTGTAACCAGCCAGTCTGGAAGCTATCTCGCCCCTATTCCGCTGACGCACCTGCTCCCCACTAGCCTCTAGAAGGATTCGTATAGATAGAGCTCCAGGAGTATATCCGTCACCGGGTTTACGTGGTGGTGGTGGGGATGAAGATGATGACAATGATGAAGACATATATGGTGATGATTTTATACTGGAATGGTTTTCATGAGAACTAGCACTAACTCCTAGTGTACCTGAGTCTTTAGCTGAAGGTTTGTGATCGAGCAAGTTGTTACATGGCGACGTCTGTCTGAAGCCGCTAATAGCACCAGTAACAATCTTTATTTGCTTAGTGTCGGCTGAAACGTTGGTTTGGTCCTGAGATTTGTCAGTTGTTGATTGAAAATATAACCCTAAAGGTTTCCCTGACATGTCGGTTGTAGCTGCCTCATCGGGTGACTGTGGAGGTGGAACGGTTGGTGTTAGGCTGATGCCCGAATCCTGAGATGGGCTGTCATCCCCTTTAATATCATCGTCCAGCCTGGCCAATTTATGCTGTTGTAAGTCGTTTAAATTTACCTCCAGCTCCTGTACTTTGGTAATCAGGTTCTTCTTTTGGGAATAGGAATTATTAATCTCTTTTAAAACATTCTCTTGGACTGTAGGTTTGTGGAATCCATTCTACAACAGATAAATACAACATCCATTAATATCTTGCCTCTTCCACATGAAATTATATACTAGCTATGAAATTCTTACAGATTATTTCTTAATCGTATCATTTTTCAAAATATGATCTTTCGAAATAATTTCCAAATTTTAATATATATTTCACAAGGAAAACTTCAATATCTTACCCTTTTGCCGTTTATTCCACCAGTCTTCTCAAGCAGGACTTGTTGCTGAACTTCCACCTGTAAAAAGAATCCCACCATGATTGAAAACCATAATATCTCATCATTTCCACATTGTCGGTTTTTCTATAATTGATTTGTATTTTATTTATAGTAAAAACGATATTTCACAAAATGAATCAGACACAAGATTTCTGAACAGGTCTGACCATAAATAAACGTTACATAATGAAGCAAGAAATTTCTATTTTCTAATGCTTTAATGTTACAACAACAAAATATAATACTATTGATCAATTCTATTTTGTACAGTTGTAATAGCTTTGGTCATTTCAGGACATGCCAGGTTTTGGCACAATCTACTGGGCAAATGATGAATCTGAAGGAGAATAGCTACAATATATACACTATGGAAGGACCAATCCTTGTATTGCTTTGGAAAAGAAGCTCACTTGCAAGAATCTCCCACTAGATGGAACTAGCTTACGTACCAGTTTGCGCCGATCTGCCTCCAGAGAAGCCACCTGGCCTTTTAAAGTCCCCATCTGACCCTCCAATTCCTTGTGTTCCTGCACTATTGACTTGGCCTTGGTGAGGAAGTCTGCGGGACAATCGGTATCTATACCAAGCTGGGAAACAAAGTTTATCTATTAGTCGAGTCAAACATGCCAAATACATTTGGAATGCAAGGAAAGCCGAGAAGTCTGACAGCTTTTATTTTTTTAATAAATCTGTGAGACAGAGGCCGTGGGGCTTAGCTCTGCTGTTTTTATATATATATATATCTATATATTAAGGATTTCTAGGAAGTAAAATCAATTAAAGGCTCTTTTTGTGACCTGTACCTAACATTTTTCATTATTTAAATTCATTTCAAAACCAAATAACCTTGTTTTAAACCCAAATACATCCAAGAAAACAGTAAATCTTGAAGTCAAAAAAGCTATTCTTTTATTTAATAGGCAGATATAGAGGTAAAGAATCTAGCAAGAAACTTGCACAGGATACAGGGTATTATGAGTTTGATTGTGTGCGATACAAAGTAAAGTATGACCATTTCCAGGTTTAGAAACATACTTCACTCATCCTTGCCTTCAGCTGTCCAACACTATCCTTCTGTAGGCCATAAATCTGCTTTTCAAGGTATGCCACTCTCGATTTTAAACAGGACTGCTTTTCCTGTACATTAACAAAATCTTGTGGTAATCATACTTAACTTTATCAAAAACATATTGAACATACAATTTAAAAGAAGTTTTATCATGTCACAGCTTGACAAAGGGACCAGTCAATCTTGAAACATTGCGACACATTTAATACGTACATTGTTTGCATAGAAAGTAAAACTTTGATAGCATATCATACATTTCCTATTAAAAATATATATTAATGCACCCTTTAAGAAAAAAGGTTAACTTACATTGTGGAGTTTATAAAATCTTTCTCAATTAAATTAAAATTTAATATTACAATGTATTTAATCCTTCAGAATAGACCTATGTCAAGTTTTGTTTTCAAAATGTATATTCTCAATAAAATTAACTTCTGCAAATTTCTCAAAAATATCCCTGACAAGGACTTATACCAATATTTCACTCGGATAAGTAATATCTATATATTACATTGATTTTCTGACCCAATACCATTTATGTCCAAGCTGGGGTCAGACATTTACACAATATATCGCCCCATGGAAGGGGAAAGTGTGGCTGTATGGGCCCCTTAAACTTAGGTATGCTAATGTCACACGCCAATGACTTACTCACCCTCGACATACAACCAACAAACTTGTTGGACAACACAATATCAAGCCCACACTGTGGTGCTGCCATGTAGGCCTGATCTGTGAGGGTCCCAAGGGTGGATCTAAGGAGCGTGTTATCACTATAGATTTACCGAGGGTATAAGTATAAGTATGGCTGTTTCATTGTGCAGAGGAATCTTGTTATCATGGACACCCAAGGAAAAGATGGATAGTATTAATACTTAAAGGTGCACAATTGTCTCAGAATCCCAGAACCATAATGCCAAGTTCATAGTTTAGTTTACGAAAGTTTCTGTAATTCACATTTAAGTGCTATCATTGACCTTACCCTTTCCTGATCTATCTGGAGTAACAGATTGGACTTGTAGTCTGGTGTCTGCATGTAGGCCAGGAACTTGTTGTACTGGTGTCTGAACAGATCTGTCAACAATACAAAACAACATCACATTTACCTGCAGATAAAATCATCAGAACACACATCTTATTTTTTATAAATTCAATATTTCATAGAAAAAAAATAAAGTGAGCCGAGATTCACCAAGAGATCCCCCCCCCCTAATCCATCCTGCTATACACATGGCCTTTGACCTTTTAACCTTGACTGATGACAGCAAAATCTAACCAGGTGTAGAACTCTATCTAACCATACTATGGTGTTATTATATATATATAAATATAAATTAAATTTGTTGAGGAATTTGTGAGATATCGTATTTACTTCAAAAATTGCAAAGTGTGATCTTTGACCATGACCTTTAACCTTTGACCACCAAATCTAATCAACTATGGACAGTCCAAGGCACACAAGCATCTGTGCAAGCATACATAGATACACTGATGAAGTGGTTACTTATATACCCCAATTCACTAAATATGAGGTATAATTATGAAAACATTTACTTAACCCCTGGCATTCCTATGTTATTGGTATGGGTGTAGACTTCAGGCCTTACTTACCAAGCAGACGTTGGAGTGCTGGTTCTGTCTCCAGTGAGGACACAGTCTGGGCCTGAGTACTCGGCTTGAAGAATGCGTTCGTCATGGAGACCATGCTTCGATCATTCCACTTATCATTGCTCTCAGGTGATGCAGCTGTGGGGAAAAGGTTTATCAATTAACCTTAAAGTAGCATTATAATGTATATTTAACAAGATAAACACATAAGTTAGGATGTAAGCAAGCCTAGCAAAACTTTCAATGTGGATGCCATCTTGAAAAAAAAAGTAAGGAGATGAAGTATTGTTTTTATTTTCATGCCAATGGTCTTTGCAGCATATTAGCATGTTCAAGAGTCAGCAGTATCTACGTAATATGTGAGTTTTATTTGCACACCCATGAAGTGGTAAATAATAATACACAAGAAGACAGTGGCCAATCCAGTATTTCTGGACCTCTCTTTTTGCTATTTTTTAAGATTAGATTCCATGTGTCCCATTAGATTATCCTTTCCTATATCAATACAGATCATGGACCCGGTCAATACTAACCTGTGGACATTAGTGTGTGCGTGTGCAGCAGATTGAGACTGTCCAGCCCCAGAACTTTCTCCTTTTCCTTGTTTTTGTTGGCTCTTGCACGGCTTCCCAGATTGGATTTCTTTCTCCCTGAGGAAGACAAACAATATTCTAATCAATAACAACATAGACTGCGATCTTTCTAAGACGGTCAGCCATTGCCAGAAGAACCAGTCTGCTAGACAGACCCTTGCTTCCCTCTAGGCATCACTTGATTTCGCTTGGCTCAGTTGTTTGCAGGATGTCTATGGAGTTCTACCAGTAATTTACTTGATATTTTAGGTTTCAAACTGATACTTATCAGACCAACACCATGTAAACGTTTATCAATTAAGAAAAAGCATCAAAATTGAGGAAATGAGTAAACTACAGTATTGAGACATGGGAGACAACTGTTCCCATGTATCAAAAAACAGGAAATAAAACAAGAGCACTTCCAGCAGAGGATAAGTGTAGGAGTCCAATTAGCACTATCAAACTATACATGTACCTGTTTTCTGAACTTGATCAATTGTCTGTATCACTTTAACAGGATATTTTTCCACATTATCTACAAGACTTTTTACAGAATTTCCTTTTTTAAAAATTCACTTTAAACCATAATAACATTTCTTTTTTATTCCAATTAATGCTTGCCATAGCTTTCACATGAGATTTTCACTTTTAATTTAAATTAATGGGATGTACTAAATTCCTCTGTACAGTGCCCCCATAGTTACCTGTCACTGGAGGGGTACTGCTCACTTCACCAACTGGAATGGTTGGAAATAATGTTTTTGTTTTATGATTTATAATGAATGCCCTGTATAATTGTTATTCTTTAATTCAGTATGAGATCAATTTAAACAATAAATTGATTCAATGGTAATATTATCCATTTATTATAACTTTCTTTTACTATATATTTTTTTTATCATATTTCTTTTTATTATTAAGTAAGTATCAGAAACATATTTTGAATATTTCTTCAGGTTGGAAAATAAATTTTGATATTAGCAATATGATGATGCTTCATGATAATTGTAAAAAATTTCGAGGTAGAATATTCTGTCCCCTTGAAAATTTCAGACTGTGTTTATCTATATGATTTGTGGCAATTCTATAAATATAAATGCAGTGATGTAATGAAAGTGCTCTGTGGAAAACATTCCCATTAGGAAGTGTAATATTTTTGTTCTTGTATAAAAGTAATTTAATAAATAACATAAATGATCACCCTTTCTAGCCTCATTGATCAATTTCAGGTAAAATGATTATCAACAATAATACCAAGAAAGTTCCAATAAGAAATTTTCAGTTTGCCTTTCTAAGAATGCAGAAAAGTCCATTCAAGGATATTTATTGCAGATTCTTGAAGCCATTTATTGACAGGGAAAATAGAAACAAACTACAAAGCAGTTAATTCTAAGAAACACAGTCAAAGAGCAACAAAGGTCACATGGGTTTTTAGTTAATACTGAGAATGTAAATATATGTAATACCAGCGGTGTGTGGTTCTTTCCTTAACTGTCCGTTCCTGAGTCGCTTTGACGCCGTCTTTGCTGCTCGGGTCCTGGTCATCTTCTTAGGGATATCAACTACTACAGCCTGTTTGTAAAATACAGGTACAATTTCATTGAAATCTTGGTTTCATAAGAAATTTCTTATTCCATATTTCTAAATTCAACATTATTTTTCATGTGAAATTAGTTTCAGTGTTCTATAAAAAGTTACAACCACTTTGATCTTGATACCCTGAAACATGCACACACACACACACACACACACACACACACACACACACACACACACACACACAAGGTTCTACATTTAAAGTTGATTTTAATATTCATGGTTTTTTTCTGTATGTTATTACCATCTCCATAACATACTGAATGAAGTTACTAAGTGTTTAAATTGAATCAGTTGATGATTTTCTATATATAGCAACAGTGACCTTAGCCTTGACCTTGGAACCCTGAAACACAACAATGTCCTTAGTATACTCATACTCAACCTTTGCATAAAGTTTGACCAAAATCCATAAAAGAATTAAGTTGCTAAGTGTTTAAATTGCATCAGTTGATGATTTTCTATATATAGCAAGTGTAACCTTGGCCTTGACCTTGGATCCCTGAATCAAAACGATGTTCGAAGTATACTCATTCTTGACCTTTGTATAAAGTTTGACCAAAATCTGTCAAAGAATGAAGTTGCTAAGTGTTTACATTGAATCGGGACAGGACGGGACGGGAGGTGATAGGACGAGACGGACATGGGTAACACTATATGCCCCCCCCCCATTTTATGGAGGGTTGTACCTTTGTATAAAGCTTGAACAAAATCTGTCAAAGAATGAAGTTGCTAAGTGTTTACATTGAAGCGGGACGGGATGGGACGGTTGTTTACATTGAATCGGGACGGGACGGACATGGGTAACAATATATGCCCCCCCATTTTCTGGAGGGTTGTACCTTTGTATAAAGCTTGAACGAAATCTGTCAAAGAATGAAGTTGCTAAGTGTTTACATTGAATCGGGACAGGACGGACATGGGTAACAATATATGCCCCCCCATTTTATGGAGGGTTGTACCTTTGTATAAAGCTTGAACAAAATCTGTCAAAGAATGAAGTTGCTAAGTGTTTACATTGAATCGGGACGGGACGGACATGGGCAACACTATAATACCCCCATTTTATGGCGGGGGCATGCGCATAATAAATATCAACATAGTTTAAATATACATACATTCTCGTCACTCTCCTCCCTGAAGGTAGGAGGATGTTCAGGGGAGGCCACTTCTGGTGCTGGTTTACTGAGGCACTCGGACCACTGTCGCCGCGTTGTGGGGCCACCCATTACTTGAGCTATTTCCTCGGCTGTGCCACTCATACTTGTCGCAGTGCTGGCGTTACTGGCACTGTCAAAGTCTAGGTTGCGTGCGGCCTGGTAGGAGTGGTCCTTGATAACATTGAGAGCTGGCATTTCATTCTTGTTAACCTCTAGGGCTCGAATTTTCTTCTTCAAAGCACCATTCTTCAGCTCTTCATGAGGCTACAGGAAAAAGCAAGCCTCGTTATTTCTTGAAAGGTGGATAACAGATATGACAGCTGAATTATATTTCTTTCACGTCACTTTACTTCAATTTTCTTATACAGCATATCCACATAATATCGTGTATATATGGTCTATATAACTATATTTTAAGAAAATTCCACATACAATTTAACAGTGTTAACACATTATAGTTAATAATAATTCCAGGTTCTTATACCGCTTTATCACAACCGAGTTCCTAGGCCATCTCAAAGCGGTTCACAAATTATTATGCATGGTTATAGGGCCTTTGCAACCAGCCAATATCTTTCTCAACTCCCTGGGAAGCATACAGCCGGTGCTGCTATTTTGGTGCTTATTAGCATTCAACAACTCCAGCATTGCCCAACCACGTGCTCATTTACAGCTGAGTAGACTTGAACAAGTGGAGTCAAGTATCTTGTTCAAAGAGACAACACAATGCTGTGACCCGACTTGAACCTGCAACCCTTCAGTCACGAGCCCGACTTCCACTAGACTTCCATGCCTCCAATACATATATATATTCCATATTTATTTTACTATTTCGCAGATTTAATTGAAATTATGCAGATCTATTTTCTAGACTTTTGACAAGTAAGAGAAATAGCTTCTGTACACTAAAATCTGTGGTACAAATCCCACTGTGTGTGATAAAAATCTGTGGTACAAATCCCACTGTGTGTGATAAAAATCTGTGGTACAAATCCCACTGTGTGTGATAAAAATCTCACTGAGGCAGTAAGATGGTGGCCTTACCTTGGAATCACCATGACCAGAACAACATGTATGTTTCTCTCGTAGATGGATTGGTCTCCCTCGACGATCTCTACGCACATCTTCATCATCCTGGCAACAAAACAACCAATGAAATAACACATGTTCATTATGCTGTTTAGATACATTGAAAAAATCCGCAGCAAATGACCATGCTCTAGGCGAGCTTAAAATGCTTTCATGGTTTCCTTTTACATTTTTGTAGTTTCCAGTGAACTGACATTATCACTACATTTTAAACCCCATGATAATTCCAGAATCCTGCCCAAATACACCACATTTTATGAGTGCTCGGCCAACCTACCCTTACTCAATCTGTTCTACAGAGGGGTTATATTCCAGTAATTACCTTGGTCAGTACTCAAGTATATTTCCTTTCTAAGAGCTCAACCTCTTGGCTTGTTACAAGAAAACTTTGATACATATCAACAACTTGAAATGTATGGTGAATTCTGCTGATGTCTGAATGATCACAGCAATATTTTTTTAAGAAGCGGTTAACTTTTTGTAACATGACATCCACACAGAAAAATAGCCGCTGTTTTTGTTTTTGTATCATTAACATCAAACGGTATTTCCAAGTTTTCATCATTTAGGTAGATCTGAATTGCTGAATTCTATCGACTACTGTTACTGGTTTCACTGCTCATTTGTGGAAAATCAAAGTTTAACCTGTAATTTAAACTACCGGTATATCCCTGAATAACTTACTTTCAATTTCGGATTTTTCATTCGTAGGAAGTATTTCTCCAACTGGAAATAAACAAGACACAAAATATAATAACATAATCCGGTCAGATCACCACCACTTAGTACTGTATCATGACTCTTATGCAGTAGTTTTTTTTTAATTCTCAACATTGCAACTCAAGGAGCACAAAAGAAGAAATTGTGTATTATTGGTTTTCTTAATATGTATATTGAGCAAAAACTCTTATTACATACAAGATATCACTGTAGATATTAAACTTAAATTTTCTGTTATGAATTCAATTCTGTTTTCTGTCTGCAAAGGACCCTATTCATGCATGCACTTATTTTTTAGTATTAAAACAAATTTAAAACAAAAATATTTCAGCAAATAATGACAAAACCATATAAAACTAGAATTTTGTTTTTGTGAACAAAAACATGTCTCTCCTTATTAGCCAATAGACAAACTTCGGTACAAAAACTTAACAAAGGGCCATATCTCTTTATACCAGACCCGAATTCAGAATGCAACACTCCTACTTCCAAAGATACATTAAACTATAGCAATTTTGGTCAACAAAGGAGAAATAACATGGAAGTTATGTTCCGGACAAACTTTGGTATTGAAATTAAACAAAGGGCCATAACACTGTATAAAGTGAAGCATGAGACCTTATTCCAGTGCACTGTACACTTTCTGTGGGTATTGCAGGTATATTTCAAGTTTGATCAAGATATCTTTAATGGTTTAGAAGTAATGCCGCGGACAAACTTCGGTATTAAAAATAATCAAGGGGCCATATCTCTGTATAAAGTGAAGCACACCTTCTGTGGGGGATGCAGGTATCCTTCAAGTTTAAATAAGATATCTTTAATGGTTAAGAACTTAAGCCGTGGACAAACTTCGGTATCAAAAATAAACAAAGGGCCATAACTCTTTATATAGTGGGGCATTAAACCCGATTTTAGTGCAAGAAATTCCGCCTTCCCAAGATACATAATTATGGTAAGTTTGGTCAACGTAGATGAAATACCATGGAACTTATGCTCCGGACAAACTTCGGTATTAAGATTAACAAAGGGCCATAACTCTGTATATAGTGAAGCACCAGACCTAATTCCAGTGCACTGCACACTTTCTGTGGGTGATGCAGGTATACTTCAAGTTTGATCAAGATACATTTAACGGTTAAAATGTATAGGCAGGACAAGAATTTACTGAAAATGTTGCACTTATTTTACCTTTGACCTTGAGGTGAAGGTCACAGTGACTTAATTCGAGTGCACTGCACACCTTCTGTGGGTGATGCATGCATACGGTATACCTTAGGTTTCATCAAGATATCATTAAGGGTTTAAAAGTTATGTATAAGCCCAGACAAGTTGCGATTAGAAGAAGAAGAAGAACCAGTACTAATACAATATGTCTCCCTTCATTCGAAGGGGAGACATAAAAAGTGTGATGCTATGCATTACTGAGTTGCTTTAGAACAAGACATTGAGTTTTGTTATACATAAGAAACAGTATGGGAGATAAGCCAAGGACAATCTGTTTTATTGATTGGGGTCACAGGTCAAAATATAGGTCACAGTGACCTACCTGACCTAGTTTTTATACATCCCTACATATAAGTATCTGTATACTCAATCAGGTAATTGCTTGTGAAATAGTACAAGAGATATACACAGACAAATTATTTCATTGGCTTGAGTAAAAGAAGTCAAAATATAGGTCAAGCTGCCATCCTAAGATGTACATACATACCAAATTTGATAACACTTAATGACATAAGAGATGTCTCGGACATACTTTTATGACCAACATAATCTGGCAGGCAGTACAAACTTCCTTCAAGTAGTACTGGTGGGGGACAAAGCCAGCCAGTCAATATTAATATATAAACATATGAAACAATCACATTTATGAAATATTGTGATATAAAATAAACATCAAGGTAATATCATGCACGTCTTTGAATTCTGACCTAATTATTACTACTACACTCTAATAAAGACTTCCTGGGAACCATCAGCTAATTACAGAAGAGCTAAGTGAGGTGTTTATTACATGTATCACAGTTCAATGACAGCCTAAGAACCTTGAACACTATAATATAGCACTATATCTGGTGTTACCTGAACTTCCTAGCATCTCAACTTCAGCATCTCATAATTTGACTTTAAGATAGAATTTTGAAATGTATTATACATTATCTGATTTCACAGGCATTTTCTCCGTGACACACACATATGTACATTTCCTTTATAAAGGTGTGGGACTGCACCAAACAAACACATGTTTAATAGGAATTAACACAATAAGCTCAGACAAAATTTGAAAACAATGGGAAAAAATACTTTGGTAAACTTTGATGAACAAGATACCCATGGGCCTCAATGGTCACCGGAGTTCTGATATATTTATACAGAGAGTTGATTTTTGTTTTTAAAACATGAACAGAAATATTATTCAAAGTGACAATAACAATAAAACCACCATATTCAATATCTAGCATACAGATTAAGACTGAAAAGTATTTGAAATTAGCACCTCTGATTCTAAACAAGGAAAATGAAGAAATTTGAGCATACTGACTCCTTTGGGCCCCGCCCTACAGCCCTTGGCTCAAAATTTTCAAGGTATCACACTGTCAACTCAGTTTTATAATTCCAATCAACTTATCAACATGTAATATCCAAAGTATCATTTGCCAATATAAACTATCATAAATTTTGCCAGGGGGAAACGTGAGACCCCAGGGTCATGAAATTCACAATTTTGGTAAAGCACTTTAAAAACCTTCTATCTATGAAGAGTATTTGATTTTCTACCATATCTCGATCTTAAGAAAAAGATTTTTGAAATTTTAGTCGATTTGACCCTGCCCCTCAGGCCCCTGGGGGCTGGGGACCATATAATTCTCAATTTTGGTTGACCTTTGGCCACGAAAGGTTCCTGCAAAATTTCATTACAATTGGTTCCGTAGTTTTTGAGAAGAAGTCAAAAATGTAAATTGTTTACGGACGGACAACAGGCAATTGCAATAGGTCACTTGAGACTTTGTCTCAGGTGAGTTGGTGACCTAATACAATAACTTGGAAGGTGTTGATGAATTGGTGGTGAACTCAACAATGAGCATTACACTTCAAAATCAATAAAATAGTGACTTTACCAAAGACGTAAGCCGACGTTGAAAAATTTCTACCCACAAAAGTTAGTTTGTCAAAACAAAGGCAAATCCACACTCAAATATATTCGTTTATATGAATTTAATAATTCCTCATTTATCAGAAATGTAAATGCTACTATAATAATTCAACCAAGGAAACAAAAAATGATCTTCAAACAGAATTAGAAAAGAAGAAATAGTATATTTGTCATCATATCATGGCAATGAACTCACAAAGATAACTGATTAAAGCTTAAAATAATTATAATTTGTGTCATAACAATAGAAAAAGAAGTGCCAAGTAGGGATTTGATTCTGCTGTAGGTAAAACTAATTCTTCCATGGGAAAATATGAATTCTTCCAAGGGAGAAATGAATTAGGAATTAACAAAATACAGTCAGACAAGTAAAACTTGAGGATGCGTTGACAAACTTTTCATTGCCTTACAACAACGACGTACTTTTCCGAATATATTCAAACGCTAAAAGCACCAATCATGCATCACTGAATCTACATTTGGCGAGTATATCCATGCAAAACATCTCAACACAATCAGTCAAACTGGCGCACGACAAGAAATTGATGTTTAACTTCAAACTAAAAGCAATGATCCTACCAGTTCTCCTTAGAAAAAATACATATCCTCTGTTTTAGTATTCAAGAATATTAATAGAAAACCCTTAAAAAGCACATGCCCACTGTTCTATATAACCCCAGTTGCTATATACATTTATTATCAATGTGCTACACATCTTCTTGTGTGTCCTGATTCTAGGAGATATGCCACACCCCTATATTTGTATACTACCATTGAGCTACGTGCTCTGACCTTACTGTTTCACAACACCCCTTTAAATGGACCCTACCATTGAGCTATGTGCCCTGAGCTCATTGCATCACATCACCCCTTTAAGTGGACCCTACCATTGAGCTATGTGCCCTGAGCTCATTGCATCACATCACCCCTTTAAGTGGACCCTACCATTGAGCTATGTGCCCTGAGCTCAATGCATCACATCACCCCTTTAAGTGGACCCTACCATTGAGCTATGTGCCCTGAGCTCAATGCATCACATCACCCCTTTAAGTGGACCCTACCATTGAGCTATGTGCCCTGAGCTCAATGCATCACATCACCCCTTTAAGTGGACCCTACCATTGAGCTATGTGCCCTGAGCTCAATGCATCACATCACCCCTTTAAGTGGACCCTACCATTGAGCTATGTGCCCTGAGCTCAATGTATTGCCCCTTTTACCTGAACCCTACCACTAAGCCATATGCCCTGAACTCTATAGTTACCAAAACCTCACAAACCAGCACCATGCCTTTTGCTTGACTGGAATAACACTTTCCTTGTGCCTTGTTTTCAGCCCTAGATATCTGGGCTACAAATGGGACTCACCCATTATTGGTCTGCCTTTCTCTTGTCCTGTGTGCTCTTGACCTCTGTACCCTATTCCTAACCTCTATGACCTTCTCTTATTCTTGTGCCTACCATCCTTCCCTGTACCCCGCCTCAACTTCAGTGTTTTACCCTAAACCTGTGTGACCCACTTCTCTTTAGACAAACTATTTACATTTCTGCCCTTCCTAAACCACTGTGCCCTACCTGCTAGCTTTGGACCACACCCCAAGAGCTTAATCTCCTATACCGCAAGCTTTCTTTAGTATCCCACCTTGGACCATTGTGTCTCCCTTTGACCCCTGTGCCCTACCTCTGACCCCATGTATCATACACTTACACCTGTGCCCTACTGGTAACTACTGCCTACCATTGATGCCTATGTCCTAGTTTTTACCCACTGCTCCCTATCCTTGACCCTCAACTTTTGTGCACCACTCCCTACCCTAGAACACCATGCCTCGAGTCCAGGCTACATACTCACCAGAGTCCTATCTATTGTGTGCACAAAGTAGGTGAAAGCTTTCCCCGTCCAGGAGACGGCACCACTTAGCGGTGACAGTTCCGCAACGTGCATGATAGTACCAATATCTGAAAATTGCAGAATGCAATCAAATCATCATCTCGATCGCCAGCTAGATGACAACCCTTATATTATAAGGCGCCCTTGGAACGGCTGTAAGCAGCTGGTATACCCAGTTAGTAGTGCTTCTCTCGGTCTGGCAGCCATGTAAAGATACAAGAGTGACATCCACAATGGCCCTGTGACCTAACCTGTATTAATTAATGGAATCAAGTAGCCAGCTCCAACACTACAGCACTCAATATTTACAACATTTCAAAGCTGAATCTCCATTTCATGTAAATTTTGAATACAATTATAACACAATGTGTTGCTAATTGATAAAAACATTGACAACAATGTCTGGTAAAAAAGTTTTTGATAGTGTAATTCAAATTCAAGTGGTGCTGTTGGAGCTGACAACGTTATTTTGGTTAGAGCGAGACCCCAATCAAAGGAGTTCATGGGAGACAACTCTTGTGACACAACTCACCATGGCCCGATCTATTGTATGTAGGAAATATGTGACTGGTTTTCCTGTCCAAGAGACTGCACCGCGTAAAGGGGACAACTCTGTGATATGCATTATTGCTCCAATATCTGTAAAAAACATGTGAGCAAGGCAGGGGATGATTACATGTTATTCTGGACGCCTGACTGGTCGGTACACTCAACCTCCCGTCTTACAGCCTGAAGCTTGTTTAGCTTGTTTTGATAGTGTATCACTTTGATTTTCTAAAAGACTTGTATCACATTTTACCAGAGATAGCCAAGGGTCTAGTGCTCAAAATGGACAATGGAATGAGCATCTAATAAAATAAACTTTTGGAAAATATTTGTTCCAAATTAATTTTCAATGTAAAATGTTTTTGGGTGATATTTCCCTTCCAAGATCATCATCCACGAAATAGGATTAACTGTATTGATTTGTTATCTGTTATCTGGGTTTTTTATGGTGTGAATTCCAGGAATTGTCAAAGTACAGTTTCAATGATGTCCAATGGCAATCTCAGGAGGAGTGAGTTGGTTTGGTTGGTGTCATAGTGTCATTGGTACTGCGAAATAACAAGGTGAGCTATAAACTGGACACCTATCACTGGTAATATACAGCAGTCAAAGTCAAGACCAATTGGTGTTAATATTAGGAGAATTTTAATTTGCAACAAAAAGGCAATAAGAGATTTTTTAATATATCTCAATGATTACAGAATTTTGTAATTAACCCTTTCACCACTGTAGACCATAATGTACTCATCCATATCAATGCATGGTAGAGTCTACTTAAGTTACATAGGGGTGAAAGGGTTAACTTTACGAAAAAAATGTACGAAATATAAGGCCAAATAAAATTAATTACTTGGTTCTCAGGCCATTTTTTTTCAAAAGAGATGTGGCAGGGCGGTATTTCTGTTCTTTCATTTTACATGGCAAAAACAAGACGAGGGCGATTTTGTTTTTATTTTGTCGTTTGTAAAACGTTCATTGTGGGCATTACCTTGTCTTATAGCTGTGTAGAGACCCTACATAGAGCAAGCCTCCGAAAATCCCCCCACGATGTTCCAGACGAGAATCACGAACTCCCCATTCCTTATTTGTACGGAAATGAGCGCCATTTGTACACAAGACTAATAAGTCATAATCATTTTAACGCTTGCCTGTCTCTCAATCCTAATCTTTATTCAAACGTTTTCGGGACTTGGGTGACTAACGAGTAAAAAACGACATGCAGACCAATTTTCCGGATTTTTTTAAAGAAGGCGGCTGGCACATTCATGATTTTTTTTATATTACTATACATATACTACATATACTACATATATAAAATCGGCAATGCGGTGCCCTAAAATGAAATGTGCGCTGGCCTGAGAACCAAGTTATCAAATTTTTTGGCCTAAGTGATATGCAATAAACAATTACTGAAACATCCAGTTTAGTGCTAACCAAAATACACTTTTCCAAATATGAATTATTTTGCCTATCCAACAACTTAAGTGTTTGCAATAGGAAATTAGAATGTTCAGTAAACTCTGAAACAGGCTTGTCCCTCCCTGTAACACTAAGTATTCAGACTAACCGATTCCACTGTATAGGTTGGGTATTGTTATAAAGCAGTTAAATATGTCCGATTATATTATTTGCAGGTCTGTAACTATTTCAATAGTGTTGTGTCTATGTAGATGCACCATTGGTGAAGAACTGGGCCCGTATTCATGAAACCGTTCTCATGCTCAAGCCTTTTTGTCAATAATTTGGAAAACATGTGAAGAGCCTTAAAGCCAAATACTGTACTCAATGTTTACCATTCAGCTTTTTGATCGTTTGACATGATTTAAGTGAGTCACAAGAAAGTTGGTTTGAGCACAAAATCCATGCTTGAGCATGGGAATGGTTTCAGACATGAATACGGTCCCTGGAACACTGTCTTTATCTTTGCGAAAACAAGTACCATTACCCTTCTCAGTAATTGCAGATCATAAGATCAAAATTCAGTCAAATGAAATCAAGTGAAATGAAACAATTTGAACAACATGACAGTTCCCAAGCACTGGTCACCAGTTACTTGGTCTCAGTTCAACATATTGAAGTGGTAACTAGTACACAGATTGCCCGTAAGAGCTTTCTAGTAGTCACAGTAAGTTTCCCATTCAATTCTACTGAGGTGTAGTTGGTTCTCTGAAGGCATAAATCAAACTTACCACTGAGATTTCTGTCAGTGATGCGGAAGTTCAGTGGACAGAAAGCCTTGGAAGATACGATTTTGGCACCTTCTTTCATATTGGCAAAGCGTAGTTTTAACTGTAAAATTAAACTAAATTTGTCAGCATTCTACCTTTACTACAGATAAATAATCACCGATAGTCTCTTAAAGTTTACAGGGTAAAAACATCCAACTGAAAATAGCTTCTCACACAATGCTTATTTATGAATTATTCATAGACATGCATAACAATGTTTATGTAAGGATAACTGAAAATTTATCAAACGAAAGTGCCCCTTATAATTTATTGTTTTAGATCAATATACATCGGTTTGCCTTTATAAAGTTATGCTCTTGATCAGAGACATTTTCTGGAAACAAGATCTGCATTACATTACATTGTGTGGTTTCTGAAGTTTTGTGGATAGTGGATTCATGGAGATGGGGGCCTCCCTTCCCTCCATTTGGTTACTACACATTGCATTCAGGGAGACAGGACATGATAATATGCTGTTCAGAGGAAGAAATTCTGAACCAAAAGAATCGGGATTACTTACTTGATGGTCTACCTGAGGTCCAAATGCAAAGTTGTTGACAAATATCACACTGTAAAAGATATAGAAACAGTATCAATAAAAAACTCATTTATTGTCCTATAAATAACATAACAGTACACATCTAGGTGTTTAGGTATATTTTCCCTTCACACAATCACGCTTTAATACTCACCTAAGCCATCTTTTTTCTTTGTTTACAAATCGAAATTGTAATGGTCATAAGAAGTATGTTTAATGACCAAATAATGACACCAGAATATTACTATGACCATCCTTAATCTCATAAAAGTCTTACTACTATTTCTTAAATTCTCATACTTTTGATGATTGCACCAAACTCATTGTACAAATAAAGAATGACTTATTTTGCTACCTCCGTTTTTATTTACTTACGTGGCATTGTTTATTTTTTCGACCATTTCGTCACACAGGAAGTCACCTTTGTCCAGTTGGTAGTTGCTGAATTTCTTTCCGTACCATTTCATCCATCGCTTGAACTGCTTCTCCATATCCTAGAAGATGTAGGTAGATATATATTAAGCAGTCTTAAATATAAACATAATTACCAGTTAATACACTATACTGCCACCTTTAAAACACTAAATGATCACAGCACTGTCTAGTGTAGGTGCGGAGTATTGTATATATATGTGTCTGAGATCAAAGCACTGTCTATTAATGGTGCGGAGTATTGTATATACATGTCTGAGATCACAGCACGGTCTATTGATGGTGCGGAATATTGTATATATGTCTGAGATCTAAGCACTGTCTATTGATGTTGCGGAGTATTGTATATACATGTCTGAGATCACAGCACGGTCTATTGATGGTGCGGAGTATTGTATATATGTCTGAGATCAAAGCACTGTCTATTGATGGTGCGGAATATTGTATATATGTCTGAGATCACAGCACTGTCTATTGATGGTGCGGAGTATTGTATATATATGTCTGAGATCACAGCACTGTCTATTGATGGTGCGGAGTATTGTATATAT